AGAGAATGCAGCTTTAACACATGAAGCTTTGACTTCACTTAAAGAACTGGAAGTTGTCTCCTGGTTCACATCTTTGCATTGAGTTTGTATGTATCTTTTCTTAAGGGCCAGTGTGACGGCGGACTTATCTGCAGAAACGGAATATAAATATTTCTGATTATGTTTTTATTCGTGTATATTCACCTGAAACTAAATACTGCTGCATGTTTATGTTCTTGACTCTTAACCACCAGGACAATAAACAATATTATTAAACTGCCTGTAACTAATAAATACATGTTTCATGTGTTTGACCTGATCAGATTGAACAGAGTCTGGATGAAACCGTGGACCGGATCATCTTTGAGTACGGAGGACACAACAGTTCGGACACCCTGATGGACAAAATACAGAGCTACGTGAGTGATCCGTCCGTCCATCTGTCCACACATGGATCTGCTTCTGTCCCACGCTAACAGACTAACAAATGTAATGATACGATCTACCGTCCACAGGAGAGCTGCTGTGGCACGACGGGTCCTTCTGATTGGCTTAAGAACTCCTACATCCAGAGTCTGAACCTGACCAATCCGGACGTACTTCCTTGTTCCTGTTTCAGGTCCCGTCGTCCCGCCGTCCACTCGTCCTGGTGCTCCGAGCTGCCGGACTTTACCGCGCCGATGTACGGGTGGGGCAACGGGTCACATGACCAGGTACACACCGTCACAGCCCGGCTCAGAGACCGAGAGAAACAAGCTGGCTGCTAAGAAAAGCTGTTTTATTTTCACAAAAGCGTCACACCCCCCACCATGAAAACAGGGTTCCCATAAGGAATCCCCACACAAAACGGGAAACGCCAATATTGGCAAACTACAAAGTCTATACTTTTTACTGTGCAATACTTGTAGGCTACAGCTTCATACCGTACACATAAATTCTTAAACAGGACCCCCCTTCCCCCGTCCCAGTCAGTTTACCAATCTCCGATGACTCCCCCAGCTCTGTCTCAGGCGGAATCAACAGTCTGCAATTTAGACTGGAGAACACCCACTTCAACCAGATGTTCTTCATGTTCTCCTTCAACATCATCTCCGACATCCATCTTAAAACGGTCAGCTATTTTCACTTACTGCTCTCACGAGCACTGCTCCAATAACTCCTCCGACGGAGCTCTCAAAGAGTCCTCAACAGTAGCCGTACTGAACCAGGTGATTACCTCTTAACTGCCTGAATACACAAACCCAAGAAGTGATCAAGGTTACACGAACATCACCGCAGCTCTGTCCCTCTAACTGCAGAACCAGAGACGAACTAAGCTCCCCCTGGTCTTCAGGTGCTACATGTGGTGGGTACTTATGCACTTAAACCCGCAGGCCCGGTAAAGACACCATGAACTGGTGACCCACCTGCAGCCTCGGACGTGCCCCCGAGACAACTGCTCCAACCACTTTCATCACCACACTATCAGAACCCCCCCAACGAACTCCAACGGGAGTCCGCTCTTAGGCTACATCCACACTAATAAATAAAACCATCTCCGTCCACACGGCGCTTCAGCATCGTTTTAGAAATGATCTCCATCCAGACTAACACGCCTGAAAACAAATATCACGTGACTCTTCACGTACACTGGGCGTGGGGGTGGGTGTCGGTGTAAACAGGAAGTAGATTGCTTGCTTAGTTAAATAGTAGTAATAAAGTAGTCTATAATAATGAAAGGTTGTGTTTGTACTTAAGATCTTCTCTAAAATATTCCTTTATGAACTCAAACACACATTTCGTGGAAAGTTTTAGAAGTTTTATTTTTCAGACTTAACGTTAGTTACAGCGCTGCGGGTCTTTCTCTCTCACACATCAAATTTACTTTAAAATCAACACTCGCACATAAAGTTGACTAGATTATGATCCATAAATGAGGTCAACACACGTCTCTCACGCGTTCCCTCGGTGTCGTTGTTTCTGTTCTCACTCGTAGCTCTGCTGGTGGCTGAAGTCTGTCCTACTGGAGAGCATTTACTGTTATGTACATTTTATCTGCGGACTTCACAATAGATGTGCAGAACAAAATAAGCATTAATAAGGACAGGAAAGTCCTCCGCTTTGTGTCCATCACCCTCCTCAAAGCCGCTAACCGTGACTTCAGACGTCCTCCGTAGGTCTGATAACACCGCTGGTCACGCCGCTCACTAATCGCTCCATTAACAGCTGCTTCCTCCGTAATAATGCAGACTTTTACTGGACAACAGCTGCTAGTAAAGACAACAAGGTCAGCGTCGCCTGTAATCGGTCGTCCATGTTGAATTAACCTGGTAGTCGATCGATAATCAAGGCGGCTGTTGTTTGTGAGCTTCCGGGTAAGGGTCACGTGATAGGGGTGTGACCAATCAGGGAAGGACACGCCGTGACTGCTAAGAACCAATCATGTAGCTGATTCAAGTTTGAATCTGAAAATATGAAATCTGAAAGTGAAAAATATAAGACCTCAAATATCAAAATATATATGAAAGTGAAAAATGAAAAATAAAATGTATTCGAAAAAATTCCAAAACTGAATCAAAATTCTATTCAAACCAAAAAAACTTTTGATTCACTTATTGTTATTTTGAATACATTGCTGTATTTTTCAATGTTCAAGACCACAACTTGAACTTTTAGGTTCAAATTATTTTTTCAAATGAACAAAGCTTTTGACCTGGATTTAGCTCACATGCTACGGTAGCATGACGTCATTACATTTCAATGAAACCTGGAACATTGAGACAAACTACCTTTAACTGTGTCACAAAGAAAGATATTAGTAAAGTAAAAGTGCAGAAGACTGATTGCTTGATTGATTTAATTTAGTTACAAGATCTGATGTTATTTCACCGCTCAGTCTTCAACTAAATAAATTAAGTTCTCTTTTTAAGTTCTTCCTGGTGAGGAAACATTCAGCTAGATAACATATAAAAATAATAATAATAATAATGAAAATAATAATAAAAATAACAATGGTAATAATAATAATAATAATTTTATTTTAAGAATTTTATTTGAAATACCTGTAACTTTTGTTGTAATAAATTGTTAAATTTGTTCTGTTTATATATTTGTATTTTGATGTTATAGTATGTTTTTTACATGATATATATTAGATTATGTTGTACTTGTTATTACTTATTCTCTTCGTTATATTACTTTATTATGTTTTCATGTTGCAGGGCTGCAAACAGAAGGTCACTGATTGGCTGCAGGAAAACATTCTGACAGTCGTCGGCATGGACGTCGCTCTCATGTTGATCCAGGTAATAAAACCAGAACCAGAACCAGAACCTGTCTGGAAGTAGAACAGACCTCTTCCAGTTCTGTCAAACTGAATATTGTATATAATAAATAATATCAAGAGGGATATGGACAGTTATTATAATGTATTAATGCTAATAAGACCTTCCTCCGTCTCCAGGTGGTCCAGTTCGTCTTCACCGTGTCTTTGTACCGAGCGCTCGGACGGAGAGCCGGCATCAAAACGACCGACCGTCTGAGCGACCCTGAAGGCGACCCGGACTACGGGGAGCAGAACTACGCCTACGTGGAGCCCGACGATGGTTACGTAGACGCCGCCCACCACCCGGCACATAACCACGACTACAGCAGACCGTAGACCCCGCCCACCTCGCTTATCACCATGACAACCAGGACTACGACTGAACGCACCGACAGGCTTCACGTTAAATGTTAAAGATCAATAATGTAATAAAATCTGTAGCTGCTGAAGAAAACTGAAGTATTTACTTCAGAAAATATGATACATTATGTTTGGTTATCTTTTTTAAAAGTGAAACTGAAGAAACGTTCTCCGGTTCTTTAAAGTGAAGACAAAGCTTCATGTGTTGAAGCTGCATTCTCTCTAGTGTCCACCAGGGGGCGACTCCTCTGGTTGTATAGAAGTCTATTAGAAAATGACTCTACTTCTCTCTTGATTTATTACCTCAGTAAACATTGTAAACATGAGTTTATGGTCTCAATCTCTAGTTTCAAGTCTTCTTCAATACAGCATGATGTTCATTTAGTACATTATGGTCCATTTAGAGTCACACAGACCATAAAGCAGGGGATGCTTTAGGGCGGGGCTACACGGTGATTGACAGGTCTCTGCCAGAGACGTATACGGCGTCTCTACGTCACTCCTCCTCAGTCCAGATATGGTCACTTCCTGTTCACTGGTTGCAAATAAACAAGATGGCGACGGCCAAAACAAAGAACTTGAGGCTTCAAAACGTCCAAAAACCAACGAGAGACGTCACCATGACTACGTCAATACAGATCCTTCACAGCACTCATCTCACCATAACCATGACGACAGCCAGCATACTCGCAATTAGCAATAGCGCTAAAGATTAGCATTAGCGCTATGAATTACAGTTTAAAGGCACTTCATCTAAAACTCTGGATTGTAGTTCCTCTTTAAGTAAGTTAATTACCAACTGCTCTGTGTTTATTTATTCTTTCATGTATTTAATTATTTATTTCAGCATTTATTCTTTTGTTTATGTATTTCTGCATCAGTTCGTATTTATCTACACATTTATTTATTTGTTTATTTATATATTTATACATACGTAAATACATTTATTTATTTATTTAAATCTGTAAATAAATAGAAAAATAAAGAGATCAATAAATATGATTAATATACATACATATGTAAATATACACAAATTGGTAATACAGTTATTACATTTTTTCCCTATTCATTCATTTATGAATCTGTACTTAATCCATATTTTTGTCCTTTAAAGGTTTGAATCCATGTCAGATAGTTTAAAATCTCTTTGTAGTAAAGTTTTAAAGTTTACTTTCTGCAGAATTTGCCTGAGGGAATTACCCACAATTCACAGCGTTGTGACGTTAGTAAGGTTCAGTAAAAACAATCCAGATGTTGACAAAGAGGGCTGAAATATGAAATAAACACAGAAACATTAAGGATGTAAGATGGTCCATCAAAACATGACATCATAGGAATATTACACAGCTGCTTCATTCATCAGACATGTTTTAGTTTCGTTATTGAAGCTGTTTGTTTGTTAATAACTTTCATCTCATGAGGAAATAAATCTAAAAAATATCAAATAAAATAAACACACTCTGACTTCAAAGAGACTTCTGTTTATAAAACTTTATTCAAAAATATTAAATATACACATTTTTAAAAACATTGTTATTATTATCAATATTATTATTATTATAAATGTAAACTGAAGTGATGATAAATTAAACAAGAATAATGTCTGAAAAGTTTCACTGGATTAAAAATAAAAGAAATCCGTCTGTGATTAAATATAAAATAAATATTAAAACATTTTAGAACTATTGACGTATTTTAGAAAAGATAGATTTGAGGTCGAGTTCTGCTGCGTTATCGGCGCAGCGCTGCCACCTGCTGGCTCCAGCAGTGGACGCACTGGAGGGACGCACGGATCTGGTTCAAGTCTGTTGGAGTTGAGGAGGAGGAGGAGGAGGAGGAGGAGGAGGAGGAGCTGGGACACTGTCGAGGTTCCCGGGACGACCCGTTCTGGAAACAATTTCAGAAAATGTTCACAAAAAAATCCACCAATCAATCGTGACCTGTGACGTCCAGGTGACCAATCAGAGCGCAGAGACTCACCAGGTGTTGCAGCAGGTCGTTGTTCAGGTTGACGACGTTACACGACACCTTAGCGTCAGGACACAAATACTGGATCTTCTCTGCACAGTCCTCATAGTGAGTCAGCTGGAGGGTCACCTAAACCACCAAACCACCAAACCACGTTCACAGAACAGGATGTTAAAGCAGACTAACTGTTTATTTTATGTTTTATATTTATGTTCTGCAACTAAGAAATAAAAATTTAAAATTTGTTTTTCACCAAAATAACCGTTATTACTTCAGTTGTTTACTTGATGTAGTTTGTGTTTGTTGTGTTTATTATTTATTGTCTTTCTGAAGAAGACGCAGCTGATGAAGATAAAGACAAACACTGACGCTTTGTTACAACGAATGTTTTTACTTTTTATCAAGTTATGTTTTCAATCTGGTTGAAAGCTAAAACGTTGACTTGATATCGATCTAAGTATTGTTTTGGCCAAAGAGAGAACTTTACATTCACACTAAGTTTAGAGAGCAGCTTTCTCCACGTAGTTACGACTTCATCTACAACTTCAACATGGTTTTAGTATTACATCCAAGTATAGTTTTGACTTTCAAATAAACTGATTCAATTACTCTAAACGTTGACGTCAGGACTCAAAGATCCTGATACTTAGTCTGCTGGAGGATCAGCTAGACCACCAAACCACGTTGAGAGAACAGGCTTTTAGCAGACGAACTCTTTCTATCTCCTCTTTAAAACGATTCTTTCTTTGAGTGATTCCAGCAGAACAGCTGGCGATGATGAATGAATGAATGCGTCTCTCTGTCTGTTGACTGAAAGCTGCAGAACAACATGGACAGCTCTAGGTGAAGGTGGAGGTGAAGGTGCAGAATGAGGGAGTACCTGCTCCAGGGGGGCGGCGGTCGCATTGCATGGCTGCAGATGATCCTTGAGATCCCCGAGAACCCAGAGATCCAGCTTGCTCTGCACCGCAAACAAAGACACAAACCAGATCCGTTAAAGCTCCAACATCGGCTCGACCATCTGACCCGTCTGTGAGCACCGGTGCTGTCTGAGTGGAGTCCGGTGTGAAGGCGTCTCACCTGCTCAGTGACGACTCTGTTGGACTCCTGCAGCGCCTCCTGCAGGCTCGCGATGATGCTCTGCACTATGGGGTTCATCAGCGGCGGCATACCTGCTGCAAGCTCCGCCCACATCGCCAGACCCAGAAAGAGCAGGTACCCACAATGCACTGCAGCAGGAAGAGGAGAGGGTTTTGTCTTAAAGAGCAGAAGTCTACAGACGGACCGTTTGAGGATGTTTTTCATCACTAATGTTATTACTTTACTCTTAAATTCACAAATAAAGGTTTGAAAATGATCTCCACACCGTCAGGAATAAAGTAAAGAATGTCTTCAGTTGACAGAAGGATTCAAATAAAGTCTTAAATCATTAGAATCAGTCTAAAAAAACCTGTCAAACATCCTGCAGCCCAAGAAGAGGGAGGTAAAAACTCACTGGTGCTCTCTGATTGGAGGGCTGAAGCAGCTGGTCTGATCAACTGGACTCTGGTCCTGCTGGGGGTCTGGTGTCTAGATTCTGGTCCAGTTGGAAATCTGGTGTCTGTATTTTGGTCCCTCTGGAGGTCTGGAGGTCTGGTGTATGGATTGTGATCCCTTAGAGGTCTGGAGTCTGGTGTCTGCTGGAGGACTGGACTGTGGTCCCTTAGAGGTCTGGAGTCTGCTGGAGGTCTGGAGGTCTGGAATGTGGTCCCTTAGAAGTCTGGTGTCTGGTGTTTGCTGGAGGTCTGGACTGTGGTCCCTCAGAGGTCTGGAGCCTGCTGGAGGTCTGGAGGTGTGGAGGTCTGGACTGTGGTCCCTCAGAGGTCTGGAGTGCAGCCTTCATGCTCCAGACTCTGTATTTATGGGCTGAAGCAGAGTTCTGAGGAAACACGTCTTCTCTGAATCTTTCAGTGATTCTGGATTCTGGAGTTTTCAGAATTGTCAGATTTCTCAGGGAGCTGAGTCAGTGTGAAGGAGTGTCCATGTGTCATCATCATCTTCATCATCTTCATCATTGTTGTTGTTAAACTTTCCGTTTCATTACCTTTAAATGAATCATTGAATGAATGAAGAGAAAGACACGTTTTACTATCATTGAGTCTTTTATGCAGCGTCTACATTATTGAATATCTTATTTAGGAATCTTGAAGCAGGAATTATAAAAACCCGACAACACGGCTGTCGGGTCTCAAACCTCCAACACGTTCAGGACGTGATATCAAAACTATGGAAACAAAAAAGTGAAAAATTGTCCTTTTAATTTACAGGACAAATTTCATGTTTATGGTTTCAGACAGAAACTATAAACAATAATAAATGTGTTTCTATAGTTAATATGCTGCAGGAATTATCATTATTATTATTTAAATTATTATAATTATAATTAAAATAATTATTTTTACTATTATTATTATTATTATTATCATGACATTGCCATAATGTTTCATCATATTGAGAGAAGAATGTTTTCTTTGTTTAATTATGATTCAATACTTCCTGTTTTATCTTTCTGCAACAAAGAGATTAAAAAAAAAGTTTTTCACAAAATATTCTTCTTTGTTCACAAACTTTATTAATTCAGTTGTTTCTTTAGTTTCTGTTTGTTTTGTTTATTATTTATTGTATTTTTGAAGAAGATAAAGAACGAGCATCACACCACATCATCGTCGTCATTATTCAGATTTCTCTTTAACGCTGACTCAGGGTCTAATGAGGTCTAAAGAAACCGGGTCAGGCTTCCAGTCAGAGATCCAAATCTTCAAACAATTAACCCTTTAAGTTCTTCATGCTCGTGTTGCTGCAGGGCACATTTCATCAGACAAGGAATGCTGTTTAGGTTGCACAACACACACAGACACACACACACACACACACAGACACACACACACACACACACACACACACACACACACACACACACACACAGACACACACACACACACACACACACACACACACACACGCACACACACACACAGGCAGGTTTGTGTTTGAACAGGTAAAACTACGACCTGCAGCTAACAGTCATGCAGGTTTCATCACCTCAGTGTGACTCGTGTTTGTCAGTTACATTTACTGAATATTCTTCTGAAGCTTCTGACATACTGTTCTGGTCT